ACTACAACATAATGCATCATGCTCTACAGAAGAACTGTTGCGTGCTGACAGCGAACGTTTTCACTGTGGCGAATGAACTTCTCGTCAACTTTATATTTCACCTATTTGTGCCACAGTAATGACATTATTTTTATCTCCTAAAATTATATACATCCTCTTTCCAGTTACTCTCCTTTTTGCCTGTTGCAAAATCCGTAATTCATTATCGTTCATGCCAAGTTACAGAAGATAGTCGATAACTACTTTTATCAACAACTTAACCTGACGATCTTATTTTCATTTGCAAGTAATAATTTACGGTAGCTGAAATTCTCCAAATCAAGTTGTACCGGTAAAGTTTTGATTGAATTATTGCGTAAGTTACTAATCACGGTTGTATGTTGTGTATTTTTTAACATTATTTGCCAAATGTTAATTCTGAAGCTTTTTTTCGCAGCCTGTTTTATTTTACTTTAATTTCATTTTCTGAGAGCGCTGTGGGTTAATCATCGATTTATGTCGTAAAGTGGTTGTTTCGGTTTCATGGACTTCATGTTTCAAAGTAATTTCTAATTTTTCTGCATTGTAGTTTGTTTGTAGTTTTGATTCTGAATGTGCGTGTTTGTGATTTTAGCTGAAGAAAATTTGATTCATTTGAACCGTCGTTCGATGTGGCAGCACGGACATCGTCAGATCCAAATTGTGTGTTGAAGAATTACCATTGCTTCGAAAATTTCGAAACGTTGAAACGACGTAGCAGAACAAGAATAAAATTGGTAAGCATGCGCCGTAGCGGTGCAGATCAACGTTCGCCTCGTGACGATGGTGAAATGATAGAATTCTCGGTTTTCAGCCAAAAATTTTGAGCGCACGTCAAGCGCGCTCACAGAATACAAGCCAATAGGTCGCAAGCAAATGTTGTATTGCGGCTGCGGCTGTGATGGATATGATATGATACATCTGATGATGTTGCTGCAGGTTGATGAAGTTATGAGAAGCCTAAATGTGAACGAACGTTTACCGTCGGTTGTTGTTGTCGTCGTCGTCGTCGCTTAACCGTCTTTTTCCTAAATATATTTTAGAGGCTCAGTGTGCATGGTGGTTCAGCAAACACAACACAGCTAGCGCGATCAGTCAAAAGCAGATGACACAGTGTTGCCAGTGATTTGTGCTCTGTCTGAAGTCGGCTGAATGATCTCTTCTGTTTTTGATGATGGTGACCACGACACGTTGATGTTCATGTTGATATTTCTTCACAGACTTGTCGAGTAAGGGAGGAGGTGGAAAAACACGTCTTGTTTTTGCTGTTCACCACCCACTCTCCTGTTTTCGGACTGACAGAACAAACTTAAACCACCACATCTGCAACAACCGTGTGCGGTATAAAGTTCAAACTATGCCTTGTAACGTAACTTTTACTGTTTATTTTCGACGTTTTAAGCTTGTTTAGCACGAAATGGAAGTTTTGTTAGTATCTAT